AGCTGCATACTTCATTTAAAATGTGAATTTTTGTCCGATTTTTGCAAATTTTAATGATGTAACCCCTTTCCTTTTTCCGAAAAATGGGAATTTTCAGAAAAAATTTTTTCAGACGGATAAAGCTAGAAAGAAAGGCCTGTAGATGCTGATCAAGAATATATATGATTTATGGGGTCGGAAATGACTCCTTCACTTAGTTTTAAGCTTCTGACTGAAGGTGCAATACCATTTTTTAATCGATTTTAACTATATTTTTATATGAATATTTTTTGGTCAAATTAAAATGTAAAAATGTCATAACTCAGCCAAAAATGCATTGATTTCAATTCGGAAAGCATTCCGATGTTAGTTTTTAGCAGGTTAACAAAGCTGCATACTTCATTTAAAATGTGAATTTTTGTCCGATTTTTGCAAATTTTAATGATGTAACCCCTTTCCTTTTTCCGAAAAATGGGAATTTTCAGAAAAAAATTTTTTCAGCCGGATAAAGCTAGAAAGAAAGGCCTGTAGATGCTGATCAAGAATATATATGATTTATGGGGTCGGAAATGACTCCTTCACTTAGTTTTAAGCTTCTGACTGAAGGTGCAATACCATTTTTTAATCGATTTTAACTATATTTTTATATGAATATTTTTTGGTCAAATTAAAGTGTAAAAATGTCATAACTCAGCCAAAAATGCATTGATTTCAATTCGGAAAGCATTCCGATGTTAGTTTTTAGCAGGTTAACAAAGCTGCATACTTCATTTAAAATGTGAATTTTTGTCCGATTTTTGCAAATTTTAATGATGTAACCCCTTTCCTTTTTTCCGAAAAATGGGAAATTTCAGAAAAAATTTTTTTCAGCCGGATAAAGCTAGAAAGAAAGGCCTGTAGATGCTGATCAAGAATATATATGATTTATGGGGTCGGAAATGACTCCTTCACTTAGTTTTAAGCTTCTGACTGAAGGTGCAATACCATTTTTTAATCGATTTTAACTATATTTTTATATGAACATTTTTTGGTCAAATTAAAATGTAAAAATGTCATAACTCAGCCAAAAATGCATGAATTTCAATTCGGAAAGCATTCCGATGTTAGTTTTTAGCAGGTTAACAAAGCTGCATACTTCATTTAAAATGTGAATTTTTGTCCGATTTTTGCAAATTTTAATGATGTAACCCCTTTCCTTTTTTCAGAAAAATGGGAATTTTCAGAAAATATTTTTTTTCGGCCGGATAAAGCTAGAAAGAAAGGCCTGTAGATGCTGATCAAGAATATATATGATTTATGGGGTCGGAAATGACTCCTTCACTTAGTTTTAAGCTTCTGACTGAAGGTGCAATACCATTTTTTAATCGATTTTAACTATATTTTTATATGAATATTTTTTGGTCAAATTAAAATGTAAAAATGTCATAACTCAGCCAAAAATGCATTGATTTCAATTCGGAAAGCATTCCGATGTTAGTTTTTAGCAGGTTAACAAAGCTGCATACTTCATTTAAAATGTGAATTTTTGTCCGATTTTTGCAAATTTTAATGATGTAACCCCTTTCCTTTTTTCCGAAAAATGGGAATTTTCAGAAAAAAATTTTTTCGGCCGGATAAAGCTAGAAAGAATGGCCTGTAGATGCTGATCAAGAATATATATGATTTATGGGGTCGGAAATGACTCCTTCACTTAGTTTTAAGCTTCTGACTGAAGGTGCAATACCATTTTTAATCGATTTTAACTATATTTTTATATGAATATTTTTTGGTCAAATTAAAGTGTAAAAATGTCATAACTCAGCCAAAAATGCATTGATTTCAATTCGGAAAGCATTCCGATGTTAGTTTTTAGCAGGTTAACAAAGCTGCATACTTCATTTAAAATGTGAATTTTTGTCCGATTTTTGCAAATTTTAATGATGTAACCCCTTTCCTTTTTTCCGAAAAATGGGAAATTTCAGAAAAAAATTTTTTTCAGCCGGATAAAGCTAGAAAGAAAGGCCTGTAGATGCTGATCAAGAATATATATGATTTATGGGGTCGGAAATGACTCCTTCACTTAGTTTTAAGCTTCTGACTGAAGGTGCAATACCATTTTTAATCGATTTTAACTATATTTTTATATGAAAATTTTTTGGTCAAATTAAAATGTAAAAATGTCATAACTCAGCCAAAAATGCATGAATTTCAATTCGGAAAGCATTCCGATGTTAGTTTTTAGCAGGTTAACAAAGCTGCATACTTCATTTAAAATGTGAATTTTTGTCCGAGTTTTGCAAATTTTAATGATGTAACCCCTTTCCTTTTTTCAGAAAAATGGGAATTTTCAGAAAATATTTTTTTTCGGCCGGATAAAGCTAGAAAGAAAGGCCTGTAGATGCTGATCAAGAATATATATGATTTATGGGGTCGGAAATGACTCCTTCACTTAGTTTTAAGCTTCTGACTGAAGGTGCAATACCATTTTTTAATCGATTTTAACTATATTTTTATATGAATATTTTTTGGTCAAATTAAAATGTAAAAATGTCATAACTCAGCCAAAAATGCATGAATTTCAATTCGGAAAGCATTCCGATGTTAGTTTTTAGCAGGTTAACAAAGCTGCATACTTCATTTAAAATGTGAATTTTTGTCCGATTTTTGCAAATTTTAATGATGTAACCCCTTTCCTTTTTTCAGAAAAATGGGAATTTTCAGAAAATATTTTTTTTCGGCCGGATAAAGCTAGAAAGAAAGGCCTGTAGATGCTGATCAAGAATATATATGATTTATGGGGTCGGAAATGACTCCTTCACTTAGTTTTAAGCTTCTGACTGAAGGTGCAATACCATTTTTTAATCGATTTTAACTATATTTTTATATGAATATTTTTTGGTCAAATTAAAATGTAAAAATGTCATAACTCAGCCAAAAATGCATTGATTTCAATTCGGAAAGCATTCCGATGTTAGTTTTTAGCAGGTAAACAAAGCTGCATACTTCATTTAAAATGTGAATTTTTGTCCGATTTTTGCAAATTTTAATGATGTAACCCCTTTCCTTTTTTCCGAAAAATGGGAATTTTCAGAAAAAAATTTTTTTCAGCCGGATAAAGCTAGAAAGAAAGGCCTGTAGATGCTGATCAAGAATATATATGATTTATGGGGTCGGAAATGACTCCTTCACTTAGTTTTAAGCTTCTGACTGAAGGTGCAATACCATTTTTTAATCGATTTTAACTATATTTTTATATGAATATTTTTTGGTCAAATTAAAATGTAAAAATGTCATAACTCAGCCAAAAATGCATGAATTTCAATTCGGAAAGCATTCCGATGTTAGTTTTTAGCAGGTTAACAAAGCTGCATACTTCATTTAAAATGTGAATTTTTGTCCGATTTTTGCAAATTTTAATGATGTAACCCCTTTCCTTTTTTCCGAAAAATGGGAATTTTCAGAAAAAAATTTTTTTCGGCCGGATAAAGCTAGAAAGAATGGCCTGTAGATGCTGATCAAGAATATATATGATTTATGGGGTCGGAAATTACTCCTTCACTTAGTTTTAAGCTTCTGACTGAAGGTGCAATACCATTTTTTAATCGATTTTAACTATTTTTTTATATGAATATTTTTTGGTCAAATTAAAATGTAAAAATGTCATAACTCAGCCAAAAATGTATTGATTTCAATTCGGAAAGCATTCCGATGTTATTTTTTAGCAGGTTAACAAAGCTGCATACTTCATTTAAAATGTGAATTTTTGTCCGATTTTTGCAAATTTTAATGATGTAACCCCTTTCCTTTTTTCCGAAAAATGGGAAATTTCGGAAAAAAATTTTTTTTGGCCGGATAAAGCTAGAAAGAAAGGCCTGTAGATGCTGATCAAGAATATATATGATTTATGGGGTCGGAAATGACTCCTTCACTTAGTTTTAAGCTTCTGACTGAAGGTGCAATACCATTTTTTAATCGATTTTAACTATATTTTTATATGAATATTTTTTGGTCAAATTAAAATGTAAAAATGTCATAACTCAGCCAAAAATGCATTGATTTCAATTCGGAAAGCATTCCGATGTTAGTTTTTAGCAGGTTAACAAAGCTGCATACTTCATTTAAAATGTGAATTTTTGTCCGATTTTTGCAAATTTTAATGATGTAACCCCTTTCCTTTTTTCCGAAAAATGGGAAATTTCAGAAAAAAATTTTTTTCAGCCGGATAAAGCTAGAAAGAAAGGAAAGAATATATATGATTTATGGGTTCGGAAATGACTCCTTCACTTAGTTTTAAGCTTCTGACTGAAGGTGCAATACCATTTTTAATCGATTTTAACTATATTTTTATATGAAAATTTTTGGTCAAATTAAAATGTAAAAATGTCATAACTCAGCCAAAAATGCATGCATGCAATTTCAATTCGGAAAGCATTCCGATGTTAGTTTTTAGCAGGTTAACAAAGCTGCATACTTCATTTAAAATGTGAATTTTTGTCCGATTTTTGCAAATTTTAATGATGTAACCCCTTTCCTTTTTCCTAGAAAGATTCGCATGTTGATGCGGATCAAGAGTATAGGTTCGGAAATGACTCTGTCACTGCTTTCCAAGTTTCCGACTAAAATTTTCTAAATTTAAAAGCAAACAGTTGACTTCAAATTAAACTTATTTATGTCATATTACGGATTAACAGTGCTTGCCTTTGGAATCACACTGTAGACTAACATTGTTTGTTAAATTATTATGACTAGTGGAAAAGGTAAGTGTAATTACTAAAATGTACTAAACAAATTCAAAAAATACTGAAACAGTCACACTTATTCTCTAACCGCCATCACCAGTGCTGCCAGTTTAGGCCACTGTTAAGTTATGTTCGCTCTGACAACAGATCTGTTAACTTTTTACTTTCTACATATGAATTTAACACAATGTATTGGAATTCTACCTCAAGTATGTAAAATGGTTATTAATTATTTATTAAAATACTAAATACACTTTAAAAATTTAGGATTTTTTAAGAAATGAAAAACAGGCATACTGTAGACGCCGGCAATTTCGCGCTTTTTCAGAAAAGAAGAAGAAGGTGCACCCGTAGACTTAATCTTAACCAGGCTAATCCCCACTAGATGCCTTCACCTACTGTCGACGATATTCCAGCTGCCAAGAAAATGAAGATCGACAAGTGCGTCCTGCGATTCGCCAAGCTGACCGAACATGCCCTGGAGCCGGTACGTGGATCTGCCAAGGCGGCCGGCGTGGACTTGCGCAGCGCCTACGACATTGTGGTGCCTGCACGAGGCAAGGCCATTGTGAAGACCGACCTGCAGGTCCAGGTGCCCGAGGGCTCCTACGGTCGGGTGGCCCCACGCTCCGGTCTCGCCGTGAAGAACTTTATCGACGTGGGAGCTGGCGTGGTGGACGAGGACTACCGCGGCAACCTGGGTGTGGTGCTGTTCAACCACTCGGAAGTGGAGTTCGAGGTGAAGCGCGGTGACCGAATCGCCCAGTTCATCTGCGAACGCATCTTCTATCCGGAGCTGGAGCTGGTCGACAAGCTGGAGGACACTGAGCGCGGGGAGGGCGGATTCGGATCCACCGGCGTTAAGGATCTGCCGGCGGCCAAGGCCCAAAACGGCAACGGGGAGAAGGCGACTGAGCCGGAGGCTGCTGCTCCCACTCCCATCGCCACATAGAGGGGAAGTAATACGCTACAAGTGTGAAATCATCTTAGTTATAAAAACATCGTTTGTCATTCGAGCCAAAGGAATACATAGTCCTAGGCCTTGCATATTCATAACCGCAAAACAGGAGTTCCACGAAAAGTTCCAATTATAGTATATTAAGCTGAAAATATTTAGGTAAAACTGTATTTGATTATCTATAAAAAGCTACACACCAGATTACCAATAAAATGTTGAATATACAATATTGTTGCTGTTATTCATGGCGTTGGGTAGATTGGAAGGGATAAACGTTTCTAATTAAATGAGTAAGGTATCCCTGTTTTAGAGAACTGTTTGCTTAAAAGTACATCTTAGGGAAATATTTTTGTAAATTCCTTTAACTAAAAAATAGGCCATACTATGCCAAAATTGCAATTCAAATTCGGAAAGCTTTCTTGTGCCAAAGTCGATCGAATCGTAAATCGACCGAAAATAATCTTTAAATATCACATTCTTTAAGAGGATGTTTATATTTTTATAAGACCATTTTCTCTATAAATCAAAATTTTAAAATCTCAGACCTAAAAAAAATCATTAAATTCAATTCGGAAAGCTTTCCTGTGTTAGTTTTTATTGAGATTTTAAAACATTATGTTATTATTTTAGTTCCAGCTATTACCAAAGTTCCATATTCTAGCATTTTAGGGAACCAAACTAAACAGGAATGATTGAAAGGCGAACACGGCTGTAAACGGAAGCATTAATTTCACTGCTCGCAAGCGAAGATTGGCAATAACTTGACGTGAAGAGCTCTTCTGGCTTGTAAATTACTTACTTGTAACAAGCACTCCAACCTGGCGGATTGAGGAGTTCCTGCCGGGTGCCTGCCGCCGCCGCTGAGCAAAGCAATTATATTTCCAGAGCCAGGTCGAGCGACTGGGCTTTATGGGGCTTAGGATAGGCTTTGCAGAGGCTACGCTAGGGATACTTGAACCGGACGGGCGCAGTGAGTTATGACCGCGTAATGGGAGCCAAGAAGCGCCGCCGATGGCCCACAATATCGCTCGCGTGTCTCAAGTGCATTGCTGCACAATTTACGCGGCCGATTTTAATAAATTCAATGACTCCAATTTGTAATTAGACGCTGGAGGTGCGCGCTGCGTGCTTTTAATTGTTTTGCAGCCATCCTTGGTTGCCTTTTGGCGCAACGGTTACGCTCGACCCGCGACGCATCGAGCGCTCCGGAGGTCAGCCGCGTGCCCATAACGCCCCAGAAATACTCCACAGCTGAGAGCTGCAGCGGGAAACTGGATTCAAATTGGCAAAAAAGAAGCAACTTGCTTTTGTTTCTCGTTTGTTTGATTTGTGTTGTATGATAACTGGTATAATTTATTTGCTTCAGCTTGTGAAAAATAGCTATAGTTCATTAAATGTAAATAATAAATCAAATTTATTTTCATTCCTATTTTGTTGAGAATTATGCTCAAGCTTCAGCTTAAGCTTCTCATCTTTAAGTTGCATAGAACATTTTTTTCTCTGTGTGTGTCTCTCGCTTACAAATAATTAAATAAACAATATGTACAAGGAAATTATTAAAAATACGCTTTCTATTTTGCTTGCTTTTTGTGTTTTGTGTGTGTTTGTTGTTTCAAGTCTTGGAGCTCTTAAAAAAAGGACGTACAGATCTAAATGTTGAATTTTGAATTCCTCTGTGCATGGCCGCAGAAAAGGTATATAAATTTCTAAAATTTGAACAAAGCATTTTAGGTTTAACAATATATATATATGAATGTATACATAAAAAATAAATAGCCTTTTACTTCGATTCGCTAAGCAATAAAATTGAATTTTTAAGTTTGCTTCACATCTTTGCGGAATTCTATAAAATATATATTTACTGACTAGCAGTTAAAAACGAAGAAAAGTCATAGAAATAAATAAAATCAATGCAAATGCGCTTTGCACTTAAGTACGTAAACGAAAAAACTCAAACTCTCCTTTCTCTCTCTCATTAAATTGACTAATAAATTGATAAATGTTATACAAATATGATTTGCTTTTTGTTTTTTTGCATTCTTTTTTTTTGTTTTGTTTTGTTTGTGGTTGTGTGTGCTTGCAAATTGGAAGACTTTGCGATTATTGTTGTTGTCGTCATTTAAAGTTTACAACTTTAGCTAGCATTTAAATTACATATTTACTGTTTAGTCTATACATTAGGGTCTTGTTCCCTCCGATTTTCGTGCGTTTCATTCCTTTTCTTGCTTCTAGTCCTTCGAAAGCTCATTTGGTACAACAGTTTTGCAGTTGAAATGCAATTTAGTTAGCATAAATATGTTTTTGTATACATATCTCTGTAGGTTTGCTTGCTTTTTTGTGGAGCCAACTAGCTGGCCTCGCCGCTGCACGGCAACACTGGCAGCAGCATGTTGCCAGCACCGGGAGAGCTTGCTGCTGCTGTTGCTGTTGCAGCTGCAACATCGCTGCCCTGATTGCTGTTGCAGTTGCTGTTGCTGCCACTGCTGCTGTTGCTGTTGCTGCTCCCATTGCTGCTGCTGCTGCCATTGAAGATCTCCGTCTTGAAGCTGCAACTCGCTGTGCCTCCTGTTGCAACTCCTGCTGCTGCTGCTCCTGTTGCTGGTGTTGCTGCTCCTGCCCCGCCCGTCGTCTGCAGTGCCAGCATTTGTTGCGCCTGCGCAACGCATGCAACACACGGACACGGCCCGCCCAATTTCTTCGCCAATATGGAGCGCAGCTTCAGAGCCGGCCCCAGCTTCATGCCCAGCGAGTTAACCAAGTGATCCTCGGTTAAGAGCGGCAAACCAGTGCCATCGATGGACTGATCGCGGAAAGACTGGAAAGAGAGCGAAAAAAGCAAATTAGTTGAAGACTTTCGAGATTTATGAGCAGTATTTTCACAGAAACAGTGATTCAAGATGCTGTGAAAATGTTATATTAATCGATTATTAGGGGAACAATGTAAGTATTTATAATAAATAGTATTCATCTGAATAAATACAAAAAATTACAAAATTCTGCTTAGTTTGTGTTTGGATTTCCAGTATTTTCAGACACAGTGCCTAGAAGGAAGACACGTAGGCGCTGGGCATCCTGTTTGGTTCTGTGTCTGCCTGTGTGTACTTCTGATTAATGCGCGGCTTTTAAAATTGTTAATGAAAAACGATTTTAGCCAAAGCTGCCTGACTTGCCACAGCTTGCGCGCTTGTGGTAGCTGCAGTAGCATTTTCATATTTGCAACGCACGATCGGTGGAAAGTGGCCAGCGAGTGGGCACCCCTGATCTTCCCATCCGATCCGATCCGATCCTCCTTCTCCTCCTCCTCCTCTGCTCGCTCTTGGCTGCCACGCCCCCTGCTGCTGCTGCCACGAACTCCCCTTTGGGCAAATCGAAGCTCGCGCCACATGAGATTTCTATTATAGATTGGCCCTGATTGAATTCCACGTAGCTCTCCTCCAACCGGGAGGCCAACCTGTTTCCGCAGCAGCAGCTGCACTAACAACTGCCACTGTTTTTTGCCGTTTGGCCGGGAAGCGGTGGCAGTGCCTCCTCCATCTCCCTCATCTGGACTCTGCCACCGCATTGGACACGCCTTTATCGGGAACGGCCCCACATTTATGGGCCAGCGCCGAATCGATTCGATTCCGGGCGGTGGCGGTCATCTCTATATATAAGGGAGGAACTGCCATCACGGGCAGCTCAGCGTTGCAGCGATGTGGCGGATGCGGATGCGGCTACTCTTTGGCTTCGTGGTCCTGCTGGCCCTGGATCATCTGGAGCGCAGCGTTCTGGCCCAAAAATACTACATGAACTTTGCCTTCAATAACAACAATCCGGATGGAAATGCCAGCGATGAGAGTAAGGCAAATCCGCCAAAGCATGGGCAGGACACGGACAAAAATATCAATGATGGGATCAATGAAAACAGTGAGTTTACGGATAAGGACAAGGGGGATGGAAATGGAGAGGCTGGGAAAGGACTTGGAGATTCAAACGGAAATGCAGGGGGAGATGTAGATGGGGAGGGAGATGAAGCTGGTTATCAAGGTGAAGACGGACATGATGCAAACGGAAACGGAAACGATCCAGCTCAGCAGCCGACGGGCGGAAAAGACGACGACAACGATGACAGTGACAGCAAGGATAATAAGAACCGACGCCACCAATTGGCGGAGCAGGAAGACAAGGCACTCAAGCGGACGGATCACAGCCATCACAGCAGCTACGAGATCAGCATCGATGACAGCTTCGGCGGAAGATATGTGCGATCCATCTACGAGAGCAGCGAAAGCCACGGCCATTCCGGCAGCAGGGATGGCTCCAATCCCAGGGACAGCAGAGCTCGAGAAAGCAGCCAGGCGGGCAAGGATCAAGGCCACCAAGACGATCAACAAAACACCAAAGATGCAGGAGCTCCAGCTGTGGGAGTCGAAGTTGCAGATGCTACGGAAGCAGCGGGGATCGCTCGCGCCGGTAACAACGAAGACTATGAAGAAATGTAATAGAAACGGAAGAGCAAGGAGTAAGTGTCCTCAAACCTTATGGTCAACATATAACCTGGTACACAGGTCTTTGGGAACCAGCAGTTACTTTTATTGAATTTATATTTAAAATAAAATTTTAAATACAACCACAGAGTGGATTTTTTTTCAGCAAATAGAAGAGGTTATTGAGATCAGGAAATTGTCTTATGAAGGGATAATGGTAAATACTATTTTGCAAACATTTACAATGGATGTGCCGTAATCCATAGACAATATTTACAAAATTGCAAGACAATTTTTGTGGCAGTTAAGCTTTAAGAGCTCAAAAACTTTGATATATATGGACTTAAAATTCGATTTTGAACATTAAAACTTCATGTGTATGCCTAGCATCTAGTATCTTTCTATCTTCCCTCGCACCTCAATTCAAACTGATTCTTTTAAAACTTAAAAATAAAATCAATCAATCAATCAACACCTTATAAAAAACAAAAATGGATTGGATATCGATTGTAACTTAGCTTAAAATATAGACATTCTTTGGAATCGACATTTATAAATATTTTGATATTGCAATTTTTTCATAAATCAATATTTAAAAATCGTATAACTCAGTCAAAAATGGCTTAATTTCAATTCGGAAAGCGTTGGTATGTTAGTTTTTAGCAGGTTAACCAAAGCTGCATACTTCATTTAAAATGTGCATTTTTGTCCGATTTTTGCAAATTTTAATGATGTAAGCCCTTTCTTTTTGTTCGAAAAATGGGAAATTTTGGAAAAAAAATTTTTGTCGGCCGGATGAAGCTAGAAAGATTCTCCTGTTGATGCTGATCAAGAATATATATGATTTATAGGGTCGGAAATGACTCCTTCGTAGAGTTTGAAGCTTCTGACTTAAATTAGAATACCTTGCAAAAGGGTATACAAATTCAAGCATGATGGTTATAAATAATTGCATTAACATCGAGTCACTGCATTAAAAAACAATCGCAATTGGCAATGGACATAATGAATTGGACACTGTCCACTCAAACGAGGGTATATAGGCAACCCAGTGGCAGTATGGAAACTTTCACTGTGGACTCCGTGAAGGAGTCATCAGCAGCCATGCTGATTCCTTGTCTGTGGACAACCCTGCCATGGATTGTCTTGGGCCAGACGTACTATATGAGCTTCATTTTCAACAACTATGGCTATGGAGTGAAACCATCGGTCATAGAGGCACCTGATCTTGGATTACCCGGCATTAAGAAGCCACCAAAGAGAGTTGAGGATACTCTTGAGCTTAGCTCAATGGAACAGTCGCGAAAATCTGGTGAGCATCCAAGGCCCATGGTCGATGTGGATAGCGATTCTAGTGAGTCAGATGAATTAGATTTTGACAAGAGGCCAATAAAGAAAAGGACGACACTGAAGCCTTCAAAAGCCACGAAAACTCAACAAACTTCAAGAGCACCCGAAACTTCAAGATCTCCCAAAACTTCAAGAACTACAAAGACTTCAATAACGCCAGGAACTTTAAAAACTCCAGGAATCTCATATACTACAGAAGTTACAGGCATTTTAGAGACTGCCGACACTCCAGAAACAGCCAAGGAGATCACCACAGAGTCCTTCAAATCCACAGGAATAGGTGAAGGCAGAGAAGAGACAAGCTCAAAAGCACCTGATAGAGATACAACGGAATCAAATGATTGGGGAACCCTGCCAATCGGGGAAGGAACCACACAACCTATGGACACCGCAACCTCCAAAGCTTGGGAAGCGACCTGGCCCCCGGTGACCCCACATTCACCAGAGTTCTTCGAGTATCCCGAAGCCGTCTGTCACGAGGAAATGGATCTGCATGAGGTCTTTGGCATCCGTCTGGAGCGAGATCGAGGTTTGGCCACCAAGATCCTGTGCCAGTTCAAAAACAACTGGGGCGGACCTTGGCTACTGATGACGCGGGTCGAGCTTCCAGTCCGGATCCACATGCGTCACTGGTTCCTTGGTTACGTGACCGAAGACTACAAGGACTTGAACATCAATTTCTTGGCCTTGGCTCACATCATGAATAACATGCGAACGGCCATGCTGATCATTGGGCAGGATGCAAACGATCAATTGGTGTATAACCTGTACGATGACGTGGTCATCTCCTCCTTCAACGATGTCTTTATGATGCGCAAGGCTGAGCTGGTGGAGGCCAATGCCACGGATATGCTTTTTCTGGCCGTGGGCAAGACACTTAGCTCGTATGCCGGCATGAATCGTTCATATCCTCTGCAAGTCCTGGGAAGCTGGTGGGGCAATACAGTGAAGCAGAAGGATATGAATAAGGGTTACTCATGGTAAGGTATTAAATGTATTTAATCCAGGGATAATACTAAATATTCTACCATTTCTAGTGTCTTTCCTAGGGAACGAAATGTCACACAACCCGGGTATATGGCCATCTTCATCAAACCCAGTATGTTTAGGAATAATAACACAGCTTTCTATAATACGATGATCACCACACGACGACCCTGGGGAGTGACTGTGGACCCAGATCTTATGAAGGAGGTTAAAAATAACAAAACTGAATATGAAATCCATCTTAACCAGAAATTCCGACGCAGCAAGCAAATCGTACAACAAGAACTTGAACGGCGAGCGAAGATCTTTGATTCCATTGAAAAAGTACGAAATGGAATGGAATAGGATCAGAAACTCAGTCAAGGGACACCTTCTGAATTACTTAGGAAAAAGATACTTAAAGGAGTAACTAAATACAATGAAACACTCATTAGTTTTAATTAGTAAGAGACAGACGAAGCTTAGATAAAGTTTGGGTTTTATTTCAAAAGAAAACTTGACACAAAAGTATCTCTATCGATCTTTTTAAGTGTATTTAATACATAATTTGTATATATTTTAACTGCACCATTTCAAAGTTCTTTAAGAACAGAATGTATTATTTATTTCTTATACTTCAAACAACCAGTGAGTGCTTTTACTAAAGACTAAAGCCCCGAATAGTCCTATTTATTTCTCGATATTCCAGCAAACAAACAATTATTGACAAGTCTTTCAATTAAATAAAATAATAATAACTACGTGTAAACAATTCCCACACTGCTTAAGGAAATAAAGAAACAAGAAAATGATCGCGGAGAGGAAGAAAAAATCCAAACGAGATAAGACCTAAGCAAAAACTAAGTTCTAACCGGAAATTGGTGGCTTTTACTCCTATGGCCAGAGCTTGGACTCTGTCATAATTTTCCCCGGACAACGCAGAACACACAATAAAAAAAAATAGAAAAGAAAAGAAAACTCGGCAAATAAATGGGGACCCATGGCGAGGGGCAAAGACTTTGATTTGGGTGGCTCTGTGGTTATGGTTATGGTCAGCCAAGTGCATTCTAAATTCTGTGCCAATAATTGACAGAGCCAACAACAATAGCACAGCAGCCACGGCAACAAACAACTTTTGCATTAACTAGAGCCCAGGAAATGGCCAGAAAAAGAGCAACACAACTTGGCCATAACAATACGGGGGCCAAAAACAGATTTGAATTGTGGCCCGGCGCTCTTGACTTTGAACTCCTTTTCCTAAAAATAATACCAAGAGAGAGAGACCTCGACCATCTCTGCAGATCCATGCACGCAATGTAATTGGACGCCAGAAAGCCAAGTTCCTCGACGATGAAGCCAATTTCGAGACAAGGAAACGGGTTGCAAAAAAGTATAAAAAATATGGAAATATGCAAATCATTTGGGCTGCATCAAACAAAAGACAACACAACTACCTAGTTTAATATTATTAATGAAGGAATTTCGATTTGATGGCTTTCGCAGCTCATATCGTTTTTTGGGGAGACACAAAAGAAACACACAACTCGTGATTGAATATTAGCATATGTGGCCAGGAATCTGCAGGGACATAAAAATATATATAAATATAGATTCACCATGAAGGCAAAGTGCTTCAGCCGGCAGAGACACGTGAGATACAAGATACAAATTCAAATACAAATACACAAATCCCTAACCAAAATCCAAATCTACCAAATTAAACTTTATAGTTCAAGTTTGGTCTTTAGCCCGGCAGGGGTTTCTTTATTTTTTTGGTGACCTGTCTTGACCATGGGACAGATGGTTAAATATCAATGAATGTCCGCGATCACAATTTGCATACGCAGCCAAAAGATTCGTCAAACCTGGGTCCAAGCCAAAGAACTCGTAAATATTTGTTGTCTCTGTTTATACGACTTTAACTTTTGGGCTGAGCCTTTTCTTTCTTTTAATAGAGCTATAAAGTTTAAGCCCAATAAAGTTATTTTGTTGCGCAATATTTACATAGAATTCAAGTGGGTTTCAATCATAAAATAAGCACATAAAAATCGGTTCTTGTTTTTTTGGTTAAAATATACGGCCAAGAACAAAAGAAATCGAATAGCCGAAGAGGTTAGAGATAACATATCGTAAGATAAAGAAAGATAATTGAAAAAATATATACTTTTTAGGAGGCTTAAAGTTATTTAATTAGGTTTTCCATACGATATTCGTATCACGCACTCATCCCTATTAAATGGTTTCAAATTGAAAGACTGGGATAATCCCAAGGCCCAAAATGTTTCTGTATTTTTTGCGAAATAAATTAATAGCAGGGTCAGCTTATGGCGCGTCAAATGTGAAACGTGCCAGGTCCTCATCCAAAATCCAAAATCCAAAATCCAAAACCTCCGAAACACCAAAATGCCCAAATGTCCCAACTCTTTTTGCCCAAAAGACACATCACACTAATAAGCAGCTACAAAAGTGCTTCTGGCTGCTTCTGGTCACCCGGTGGATGCAGTCCCTCCTCGATTCCCTCTCCTCCCCGCCCCCGAAATACATTTTAATTTGAAGAGTTGTGCAGCGAAAAAAAAAAAACAAAAAAAAGAATTCTACAGGGTCGAAAGGGGCCTCGGACCGGACCAAACCGGACCTCACCTCACCTCACCTCAGCTCACTCTCTGCCCAATTGTACTTTCTGGGGCTCAATTTAGTTGTACGGATTTTGACCTGCTTAACCCTAAAGCCAGCCCCAACCCAAGTCCAAGAGACCGAGGGAGACCCGGCCGAAGGGAAGACAAGAAGCGAAGACAACAATTTGAATTCTAAATTGAACAGCTTTTTGTGCTACCTATGCCCGGGAGCTCGCCCAGCCGCCAGTCGAGTGGAGTTGAGACCATCGCGCTGATCGCGGAACGTGGGCCGACCTGCTGCCAACTCTTTTGCCGTGGTTCAGGCCGCCTTGGCGGTTGCTGTTGCTTTTCTTTTGCCTTTTGCCTGAATCCGAGACTGAGCCACCATCGTCAATTGCGCCCAACTACCTACTCATTGTAATTCTTCATGTCTGGCCACGTACCGGGCCAAAAGCAAAAAGCCAACCCAGAGTCTTGGCTTCGAGGAGAAGGTAGAGGAGGAGAAGGAGGGACTGCGACCTGATTGCCGGCAGTGGCAAGTACCAAGTTCCAGTTGCCCATCAGCAACCTTTGGCTTGGCAAGCTGGTATCGGTGCTGGCTGCCCACCTAAAACCAAAAAAAGTGACATTGCATAAAGGTAAGATGGCCAAGAGAGTTACCTCTCAGGAAAAGGTATCCAAAAATATGGTTACTTAAAATTAAACCAAGAAAAAGGAAGGAACCCGACGAAAATGAACCTTTTTGAGCTACTAACTATTCAGAAATATATCCTAGAATTGAGCTAAATTAATTAAAAGTATTTTCTATATTCAAAAACATGTACTAGAGTTCTGCTAAATGAAATTAAATAACTTTTTCAAGCCACTAAAGTATTTTCTATATTCAAGAACATATCCCAGATTTGTGCTAAGTGAATTAAAGGAGTTCCATACTTAAATGTTGATATAACCTTCTTACAATTTCCTCCAATTCCGATTTTCTTTTCAAATTATCTACACTCTCTTTGGCTGCATATACTCTCGAAGCTCTCCCTTTAAGAGGTATCAAAAAAGTTGACTTGTTGCCTTCTCCCATCGCAGCTCTACACTTCCACTTGTGTCTTTGGCTTTGATTTTGATTTTGGTAGCGAGTATTTAATGATATTTCTTCTCTTTTTATTCAGCAACCCAGCCAACCCAACAATTACGCTTAATGCCAAACATCCTCTGCGCCTCTGTCCAGCTGTCCCGGCCTGAAGATCTCAGATCCCAGCTACCATCAGATCCCAGATCCCAGCTCCCAGATCCCTCTGCTCCCTCCACTCCCAGCATCCCATCCGAGTGCGGTGGCTGCGGTTTGATCTTGTTACGCATTCGGGGCAACGACTACTACTACTAGGTGGCCTCTAGATTGCGCCCTGGAATCTGTACTCTAAAGTCTGTACTCTGGCATCTGGATCTGCGATCTGAGGTAGCATTTGATTGGCAGTTGGAAGAGCCAAGGCCCTGGACTTGGTGAAGGGAAGAGTCGACTGCACTTTCCCCCAAAAAGTGTGGCAAATTGTCGGTGGCTTATCTCTACTCTTTGATTGATTCGCTTACCCCACTCTGAGGACCGAAAAAAGCTGTATTCTATATCAATCAACCAACTGTTTCAACAGCCGAGTGCAAGAGTACATAAAAAATTGCCCGCTTATTATTTAAATAATTTAATAAATTATTGAATGCCCCGCGCCCGGGAGGTAATGAAGCTCTCGAGCAGCAAGTCTTGACTTAGACAGATGTAATAAATAAGTTTTATGTTCATTTCACAGCTACTGCCGATGGCAAAAAAGTTAAGTTGCGCCACTGAGAGAGGACAGTGGGCGAGTTGTGTAAATTGCAGATAAATGTGTGGATATGATGGAAGTTACAGTGGGTATTATTTATATAAAATATATATATAGAGAGAGCTAATGAATAATCTTTACCTCTTAAGCAAACTCAAACTATTGATATTTAGAAATCTCTTAAAAGAACAGTATCTATTAAGAAAGTTATATTTTAAATGATTAATAAACAAGAAAAGAGGATAACTTAGGGAAACCGAAATTTATAATATAAATATATCATAACTCACTCAAAAATGCATCAATTTTAAATCGGAAAGCTTTTATTTACTAATTGTGACAAGGTTAATAAATCAGCATACTCCATCTGAAATTTAATTTTTTTGATCATTTTTAGACAATTTGAACGATTTAACGATTTTTAACCGAACATAGCTAGGTCGATTTGGCTTTTAATGCTGATCAAGAATATATATGATTTATAGGGCGACTCCTTCACTGCCTTATGAGCTTCTGACTAAAATTATAAATTAATAATATGATAAAACAAATTGTTAGTAAATTATAATCCTAATCTATCATCTTGTCTTTCCTCACTTTATTTATATATTTTAATTATTTGATTTACTCTATTCAACCACTGTTCGCATTGGGGCCATCGCGGATATTACATCTTAAGGTCAAAATATTAGCAAATTTTGTGTGACCCGCTAGGAAAACATGAAAAAAACATACATAAAGAAGGCTAGCCAGTCAATCCAATCCAGGAGAGGATTAGGGGGCCAGATGAGGTATCCGCCAAGGAGTTTGGTCTGTTAATTTCGCTGCAGAGAGCGGTGGGCACATAATCAGTTTATTTCGTTGCTTTGGTTGCTCCAGAGGAGCCAGAAGGAGGAGGAAAAGGCTATGCAGTAGGAGCAGGAGCAGGAGCAGGAGTTGAAGC